TTGAACATGTAAGTCCCACGTTTTATCCCGGAGTTTGCCTTTAAAGGAAGCAGTCACGCTGGCTTCCACGTAGAATTTGCTACACTCGATAAGGTGTGAGGCAGTAATTGTTCGGACGAGTGTAAGCCCATGGAAGATATGATACGATGAGATAAGAAGGTGCGGCTGCTTGATAAGAGGTGCACTCCAGAATGAAAACGGGACGATAACGATAACGGTATCATATCTAGCACGCTCTTATCGCACCCCTTTCCACATCGATAAGTCTTGGTTTTTGCTGAACCGGAAGTGGATTTCGGCGCCTTATCACTCCGTTGATAAGGCGCCACTGCCACTGAAACTTCACGTGTTGTAACATTGGGCAGGACCCCTATCCACTCCAGTACACAGCTTTCCTTATCGTCCCCATGAGAATTATCGTGACCACTTCCTTTAACTATGGTCTCCCACCGCGAGTTGTGGTGCGTGGCTGGCATAAGGCGTTAAATCAGTTGTGTTGATTGCCGTATCATCTGCTGGCACGGAGCCAGCAATAACTGGCATTACCGAGAACTCGTTCGGACAAGCCTTCGTCTCTGCCCGCCCTCTTCGTTTCTTTTGGGAAGGGGATCCGTTTTCAGCCTGTCGACGGTTTCTTTTCATTGTTCTGGACTATCGTTCCATTTCGTCTCTCTACATTAAGTTTCAAGCGTCGTAATTCCCCAAATCGAGCCCGTTCTCTGCCTCAACGCGCACGCTTGTACACTTTGTTTCACGGACCACCAAGGACATTAAAAAGCGTACCTGATCTTTCCGAGAGCGTGTTTAGTGTATGGTTGTTCCTTCGCAGTGTTCAAGATCAACGCTAAATTCGAGTCTGTCCTCAGATAGAAAAGGAGTTGTTTCGGAGAAGAGAGCATGCACTTGGAAAAGTTTTGTATTTGATTGCCTGAAGGAGTTTTATATGCATAATGTCACAAGTATGTAGCTGTGATGAAGTCGTCGGCTTAACCTTATGGTATTAAATTGCCTAATGCTCGTGGACTATGAGCAAATAGGTGAACGTAAACATCAGCAACTCTTTGAAGTGAAGTGTCGTTCTTGCTAACTTTTTGCCAATGATCAATAAGTTTCCAAACTGCACCACTGGGAACCTCTTGACACCCGGCCTCAATATGCCCAAACAACCGAAAGGACTCTGCATTAACTGTTTTATCGAGCGTAGGAGGTCGCTGCAAGGAGTGAGGTACGAATTGCAGGCAGGTTTTGGAAAAAAAACAGTATAGGCAGAGAGAGAATAAAAAAAGCTAGGGACCCCAGGCTGGCTAGGTCGCGGATCTCTGAAGCCAGTTGTTTGAACAACTGGCTTCGAGAGATTGCCGCGATTAGCCGGCCTGGTGTCTAGCTTTTTTTTTCTCTTACTCTGCCTATACTGGATTTTTTCTATTTCTTTCGGAAACACCTTTGAAGCATTTATAGAGAAGTTCACACCTCACTAATTTTAAGGTGTTCAACAGACTAGCTCTTTCATCCAGACCTGCGTACTACCACGGGTACTTTTCTCAGAATCAGATGCGGTCAGTCTTTCCAGATTTCTTTCGAAAGTTTCAAATTTGCAATTTTTTAGTCTATTCGCAAGCTATAATTATCTTCATCAGCAGGTATTACGGGTGTGGGGGCGGTGTTCGAATCGGGAGTTGGTGGTGTTCATTGACAAGGTGGGTTTCAGCTTGGTAGCGTTTCCACATCTTGAAGTCATATATCTACTTACATTGTTGCTGGAAGTTGTGACAGATTGTCTTATATTTATTGTGTCTTACGCAGATGTTTTAGCTCTTCATTGACGCGTTGCCGCTGATTTGTGCGTTGACAGAAAAACGAAGCAAATGCCATTGGCACATTTCTACAAATACTCCTTTCTCATGCTCAACGGTGGCACTCCGACAGTTCAGTTTTTGAAAAGGTTCGTGTCCTGGAATATTGAATTTCTGCTTGAAGACATTGTGGAAGAACCGAGCGACGTTCTGAATATGTACGTACAGGCGTCGCTTGTCTTTCGTCCACTTCCATCTTTTTCGCCTATAAATTTCGTGTTTGAGGTCAAATTGGCTTTTAAAATATCTACGCTCAAGTAGGTGAATTACGTATACTTTCTGGTACCATTCAATAAACCTTGAGGAACGAATTATCGTGGGGATTGTCGAAGTCGTCTATTTAGACTCTTCGCGTTGACTTACGAAATCTCATTAAATATTTTTTAATATAGTCAGAATAAGGATGAATTTCACTCTGTGATAAAAATGATTGAAGGATTGAATGGAATGTGATGGGTTTCCTGGCTTGATCTCGAAAACGCGGCAGGACAAAACAACAGAGAGCGTCAATTACGAAAGTTTCCGAAGGTTATGCTTCAAATGGCAGGTTGGAAAGAAGAGTTTGGAAATATTCTATGCGCGACGGCCACTGAATTTGTTGTAACTGAGCTCGTTTCAGATGCGGCTATATACTGCTTTCAATTCGGTACTTTCGGTGGAAAACAACGAGTATGTACAAGTACGGAATTGCTTGGTGGTAATGACGAAGGTGATTGTTTTTCTGCACTTTTCTCCTTGAACTAAGATATGTAAGCTTTTCGTAGTATCACTGTCGCCTTTTTATTACTTTTTTGTTGCAGCTCGCTCCATGTTTCCCACTCTTGAAGGATTTGGTGGAAAATGTAGAGAAGTTGGCTGAGAAAGTAAGTTTATTTGTAGCGTAGGAAATAACACAAAAGTCTTTTTCGCCTCTTCTAGGTTCGAGACACCGAGAAAGGAAAAAGAGATGAGCTGTCATTGAAAGCTGCAAGCTATCTAGTCCGACTGAAAATGCGCAATGTTCCAATCTTCGAGGCATCCCAATTCCATGTAAGTTTAAATCTGTATTAATTCTCTTCACCACTGAATAGCTTTCAAGAGGTAGCATATTATTCAGATGGTTATAAAGATACTAAGCCTATTATATCGAGATAATTTTTCATCAGGCTCGCATTCTGGAAATTATGAAATGTAATTTCAGCGTCCTTTGCTAAAACATCCTGTGAAACAGAATTCTGTTTTGGAACGGAAGCGAGTTGCTCCGGTAGATTTGATGATCATTATCTTTTTTTTTCATTTTTTGTCCATTATATTGTTCATTATAGTTCGAAGTTTTAGTTCCGTGTTCGCATCATAAAATTCTTCCATGCAGAAATTATGGGCTCATTTTTTGGTTTCTTGTGGGCTTATTCCCTCACCTAACGGACCTTCCAGACCGATGCTTGGGAGCAGTTGATTTAGGGAAAAGTTAGCGGACTGTAGTTAGCGGATGTGAGGTAAAGGGAAAAAACATAAGACAGCTCATACCATAGCTTCTGTGCACGTAAGCATTCTTTCGAAAATTCTGACGATTGAGTAGTATAATATTCACACTTCTCTAGCCCATGCGAAGAGTTGTGGTGATTATTCCCGGCCCTTATTCTCCCTGATAAATCTGGCACTAATTAATCATCCAACAGGAAAACATCGACTGATTGGCTTGGGCGAGTTATAGCCTCTGACGTACCTCTGCTCAGCAATATTTAGTGCTTCAAATTACTCGGCGAAGAGCTTTCTCGGGTGTTACCTTTTTTCTAGTTGCACTTATACTCAAAAATTATATGGGATTGTGATGTTTTGCCGTAACATATTGTGAACCAATCCAGTTTATTCGTCCAAAGCGAAGGAATCCGCGATATTGCATGGATTTTTTCGTGAACACTGCTATTCAGCCTAATATCGAGACTAGCGTTATTCTTTTTTTTTTTTGATATTCTGTCCATTTTTTTTACCTTCCTTCACTGTCGGCACAAATCAAGCACTGCAAAAATGCAGATCTCACGAAGATGCTTTAATACTTCACCATCAAATATTTACTCGGACGCTGAAAAAATTATTGCTAAATTATTGGTTACTGACAGAACAAACGCCAAAAACTTGCGGCAGTGCACATATAACGGTGATCCGCAATGAGGTAAAATACTAAATTTGAAGTCACTCCCCACTAAAAAGTTTAGGACCGAAGATCGTCAAATAATTTTGAGCGCTATTCTAAATATTTTGCATTCATTTCACCTTGTGTATAGGCCTTGTGGCAAAGGTAAGCTTAAAATTAATGTAAGAAGAAATGAACGTCTAAGTTAAAAGATGACCTCACATTTCTATAATTTTTTTAATGAGACCGTTGAACACATGTTTATTCTGATAGTGTGCTTGACGTGCATGGAAGCGATACCGTGTCGTGGGAAAATGGATGGTAGAATGGGGGTTGTACGCTTTCCCATATTCGATATAATGTGGTAGGGTAGTTTTGGCAGCTTAGCTATCCGAATTTATTCAACATGAAGGCTATTTTTGGCTGCTATTTTCTGTTGTGTGGTCTTTCTTCTACCCTTATGACATGCTCCACATCTTCCAAGGCCGCTTGGTGGGCACTAGATGAATTGGCTGTCTGCTAAATTTTCCAAGTCAATTTTTATTTTTGTGTTTAGTAATCTTTGATTATGGGCACAGTTTTTATTTACATAAATGCCATTTCAGGCTCCGGGTATTGAAGCAAAGAAGAAGGTGAAAGTGGAAAAGCCGAAGAGTGTAGAACGAAAAGAACCGGAAAGAAAGGATTTACCGAAAGTAGAAAAGCGGGAAAAGAAGGAAGAGCAGGTGGTGGTCAAGGAGGTGAAAAAAGAAGCGGTCGAGCGTGAGGAAGGTGAAGTTCCACCCAGTCCTCCACACAAAAAGGTACTTTGATTATTGAATCCATGCCGTCCGCTGTTGTGTTCCTTGTATACGACCGACGATGACACTGCTATTTTACGTGCATTTTGGTTGATTATAGTCTCGTGCTCAGTCGGTTGACAAATCACCTGCTAATGGCGGGTCAAAAGAGCGAAAGGAGGCGACGGCGACCATTGCGAAAGAGGTTAAGGATGATAAAAAAGATTTCAAAGAGCCCAAGGAGAAGCGAGAAGAGGAAAAGAAGGAAACGCGAACGAAAAGGGATGCAACGCCATCGAAGAAAGAGGAGCCTGCGAGGGATATGGACAGGCGGAAGGATCGAGGTCTCGATGATGAGGAAATCGGACCAGCGGTGAGTACAAAGTTTAGTCAAAGAACGCTCTCGTTTCCTACTTTTCACAGAGACCAATAGCTCAAAATTGCTACATTTCTTATGCGAAGGCCCGACTTATGCTTTGAACCAGAAAGTCGAATAGCTCGTTAAAATTACCTGTGCTTTAGGGAAAGCAGTTTATAAATCACGTACATGAAGTTTCTTCATTATAGTTACCACCAACAATGAGAGAGGACCGAACGGATGATCGAAAACGCGACCAGAAAGCTCACAAAAGATCCGCTCGAGATGAGGAGCAGAATGGGTAAGTTCTTAGGCTTCTGTCAAGATATGAAATCGAGACTGGGCTTTTATTAGTCCGTTATTCAGTACCCAGACATAGTACAATCTTCTGTGATAATATGTACATGGTAGGACATTTAAAGGAAGGGTCTGTTGCGTCGCTGTGCTAATCTCGCTCTGCTCGCTATAATTTATTTTTCCTTGACGACTTGTTGCGAGTTCACCAAATTCCTATCTTGGTTTCGATAAACACGTTGACGGGACGGCATCCACATTTTGGCTTTTTTGATCGGCGCTGGGCCACTGCAATGATCAGTTCGCGTTTTCCTCATTTATTACAATGCCTCAACAACATGTAAATCGAAATCAACAAAACGGTTTTGAGCAGTATCGAACTTATTATATTTGTTCGTCGTTGTTTCAAGTAATTAAGTCAGATGCGCGAAATGAATATTAATGGGACATTTATTGGACCATTTCTACTAGTCTGCAAATTGAGCGCGATACGTAGTTGCGTTGCTGCCGTCTCTCCTTAACCTATTCAACGACAAGCGTGGACGCGTTGCGGCCCACTTAGTATACTGACGTCGTGCAGTTGACCGGGTACGCGGTCCCTAATCCCAAATCATCTTTTCTCCCGTTTACGCGACTTTTCCCCAATTGTTATATTTTTTATGGGTCCGGACCATAATAACTTGAATGAATGGGGTTAACTATTGCCAAATAGCTCTGAGTCTTAGCGCTTTTCTGAGCGGGACAAAATCTGTGGTGACGTTGCTTTCATCCTTTTTCTTCATGTAATTGTAGAGTTGTTGTTGTAATTGTAATGTAATTAAACATCCATCACAGAAAAACACAGTAAATTTGCTTCCTCATCACGTTTTTTGGTCTAAATTCCACCAGTAAGACCTGCGAATACTTCTACGCATTGGATGTAGCTGAAATGCTTTTGGTGTCATTACCGTTTGCATAGTTATCACTGAAAATGACGAAGGGAAGGTGAGGCGGACACATCACAATCGCTTTCTTCCACTTACCAAGAAAGCCGAAATGCGCGCTATCGTCAACACGGTAATGGACAGACGTACTATCCCTACCAATACGCGCTCGTCTGTCTGACTCCCATCGTTCTGGGTTCGTGCGCTAGGCCCCAGTCCTCCTGGAAGCATAAAAACAGTAACTGACACACGGCCAAATTACGGCTGGGGCTGAGAAGCAGTGCGTAGTACCGGTCATAAGAATTTACCATTCAAATGCCGTACGTTTTTGAATGGAAATGAAATGCATGGCGCTTTTGAGAAGGGTTCCTGGCAATTTCAGCGATACACTAACCAGTGATCGTTGAACTCGCTAGCCCATCCCTGGAATCGCTGGCGCGTCGCTTGAATTATCGAATTGCGCGATTCGCCAATGATTGGTTGCAAAGTCTAGCACCTGATTTAAAGGCCTGTGGATTTCAAATGGGCTCGCATACAAGTGTTATAACTTCTTAATTTGAACTTAAGTTGAATTCTCACGTTGCTGTCTGGAGGTATAAAAGCCTGTGGAAATAGCGACGGACTGATGTCAGTGTTTTGATCTGATTCTGTCCTTTGTCGAACATGCACATAAAGACCTTATGCTTCCAAATCGAATACTATGAGATGCCTAAAGAGATTGATCCATGCGCAGCGCTCTCCTCCAACATATTGCGAACCAAAGCACTGCGCGTTTTCCGTTGTTTATCAGGTAGTAAATTGCCTCACTAGCTGATACATGTATTTTTTTGCTTCTAAGATTAGGTTCGAATAGTACTAGCGCAAAAATGCCGAACAACAAGCAGCGATTCTTTTTCGTGTGGAGGCGTGAGTACATGGGGGGTGCCCACAGCACGCAATATGTAATCCCTCGGGTGTCCCCCAACAGGCCCACCGCGCGGCGAAGCAAGAGACGCAGACGCGGCAAAGGGACGAGTCGCAGCGCATACTGTAGCGGTTAGGCGTCAGGTTAAAGAGAGTGTACCATACTACGTCTCATATCGCACAGCACGCGCTGCAACTCGTCTCTTTGCCGCATCTGCGTCTCTTGCTTCGCCGCCGCGGTGGGCCTGTTGGAACCATCCTTCATGTCAAATTGAGAATATTCTTTCAATTTTCAACTATTTAGGCATTCAAAAGTTGCGCGAAAGGACCGTGATCAGATCGAATCAAGATGTAAGTGTTATCTTACTTTTTCTTGGTAACTGTACAACAAGAAGTTATTACAGTATCCCGACCTGTGTCACATGAGCGCAGAGCCCCGTCACCTGTACGAGAAAAGGAGAGGCGAGATGAAAAGAAAGATAGGCGGAAAGATAGGTGAGCTGTGAAAATTCTTGTTTTGTATGATTTCCTTATGAGGAGGAAGAAGTACTACGTTTTTCAGTAAACCAGTGCGTAAGTAGATGGATGAAATCAGCGGCTACACTCCGTTATTCGTTACCTCAAACTGTTAAATGATTGTTACGTGTTGTGCATTGGTGAAAGTCTTAATAAAAATATCTCAGTGTATATTTGCGGCATTCGCTGTTAGGCAAGTATGAATTCACTAATGACTATAACAACAAATACTTTGAGCTTTTATTTATATTTCTGTAGAAGCGTTTTTACGCCGTCTTGCTGCAGAATGGCCAATTGTGAGTTATTAGACAAATTTCATGATATTGCTTACTAACAGGGATGGACAATAATCAGGGATAATCACTGACAGGGATGGACAATAATCAGGAATAATCACTGACAGGAATAATCTTTCGAACTCGATTCTACCTGAGAA